AAAAAAAAAAAAAAACCCCAGTAAATTATTACAAAAAAACTAGCAGAAGTTGAAGAGGCGTGAAAAGGGGCAAACAGGTACAAAGATCTGAAATTCTCCGAAAATATGAAAAATGCCAAACAGTATATGAGGATCTGAAGAAAGTTTAACAACAAAAACACGGACCCTGCTCCGAATCTGAGCCGGAACCCGACTCAGTGTCGGCAGAGTAATCGGAATCGCTCTTTGCCAAGTTGAGCCACTTGCGCACCACCAAGCGCCGCCATGAGACCTGCAGAGCCAAACACCGCAATTCAGCACAATTCCTCCTAAATCCTCTCCATATACACATAAATCCTGCAAAAAAACTACAAATTTCCACATGTAATTGGGGAGAGAGAGAGAGAGAGAGAGAGAGAGAGAGAGAGAGAGAGAGAGAGTGCACCTCGTGTTGCTGAGTACTGTTTCTCCGTGTTCTCATTTGAACAGATAATCTGTGGGAGAGAGAGTGAGGAATTTCGGAAAAAAAAAAAAGCAAAAATGGGTTGAAAAAAGCTGAGGATATGGAGAATGATGGTGGCCGAACGATAACTTCCGGCTTTGTACTGTTGTGCAGAGGCTGCATGCTTTTTAATAACCGTTTCTATTTATTTTATTATTATTATTATTATTTTTGTCATTTTTTCTCTCCCTTTAATACATGGTTAATTAAATGAGGGACAATTAAATATTCCTTTAATCACAATAATAAATATTGTTGTTATGTGGGTCTAACAAGTAAAAACAATTATTTGTCAAACAAAAAAAAAATTGATATACATTTTTGTTCAAAGTGGAATTATTCTTGATATTAATTGATGACAATGATTTTATATTTTTTAATTAAGATTGATAAACAAATTTAATTATATATATAAAGATAGATATAATTATTATTTTTTATTATATACGCATTATAAATTTCAAATAAAAAATCGTTAAAAGATAATTAAGTTGGTATGTCAGTAATAACAAATAAAGGGTTATTACATTTTGAAATATACTTACAATTTATGCTTGTCAAATATATTACGACTACGACCTTCGACCAATATTCAATATCCACATAAATTACTAATTATTATGAACCGCAAAAAATGACTACATAACATTGAGGCACATAGACCACAATGGACCAATTGTCGCTAGACATGACCAAAATTTGGTTTCGGTCTGTGTTTTGGGGGACTGAACCGGCCTGGGCTGTCTCATGAACCATCGATTATGGGCCAGTTCAATTTATTGAAAAAGTATTAAAATAATAAAAAAAAATCAAAATTTAGTCGAATCGTTGGTTCCAGTAGTGGGGCTGAAACTTCGAAGAAATGTGGCGATGGCTCGATTGGTTTTGGTTTGGAATCGGAATTGCCGGTTCAAAATTCGTAAATGAACTGGAATCGGCCAGGGCAAAAGCATGGACTAGTTTAAGACTCGTGGTCAATGGGCCAACTCCGAACTGCTTCGGCCCGTGGTCATGTGTAGTAACTTATGTTTGAAACACTTTAAGTGTAGCACCACAATTATGGGCTAAAATGGATAATTGAGTAGTGTGTGTCATTTCTAGCGCAACACTCGTCTTGCGCCACAATTTATTTTCTTTTTTCTTTTTGTATTTTATGTTTATGTAAATCAATGTAATATTGCTAGTGAATTTTTGTAATGTGTATTGGTTAATAAATTTATTATGTTAAATAATTTTGTGCTATGTATATATTGATATATTATAATTGTATTTTATAATTTTTTAATATTAAAATAGTACACTTGAATAAAATTTACAACATATATTTTTCAACATAAAACACTTATTTATTTAATAAATTTATTTATAATAAAAAAAATATGTGTTAAAATTACTGGACGAACAAATATTAACACAAAGAATTAATTTCAATGACTTACATTATAAATTAAAATTTTTCTTAAATCTTATTAAATAATATTATAAAAAATATTGACATATGTTTTAGTCAATAATTTAGTTTTTATATAAGTATTGTTGTACTGTTTATATTTTATTATTATATGATGGTAATAATTTAAATAACTAATTTTGTGTAAAATAACATATCTAATTAAATTATATTTGTGATATTCAAATAATTTAAAATAATGAGAATAAAAAGAAAATATTTCTGGAGTAAAATGTAGCACAATTAGTTAGAGACAACACTTGATTTTTGTTTCACACTACTCTAGAGTAGATTAAACTCTGCACTAAAGTAAATATAAGGACTGGAGATTACCTTATAATATAACATTGAATTTGTGAATTGACGAGGAAATTGTATTTTATGTTATATCAAGTATATTAACTTCAATTATAAATACGATCACTATGATCTTGTATGGAAGATATGATAATAATATGTTGCAAAGTGATAAAATAGTCACTGTGATAAAAAAAAAAAAAAAAAAAAAAAAAAAAAAAAAAAAAAAAAAAACAATTCATAAATTCTTGTGTAATTTCTTAACCGTTAAGAGTTAATTTGTCTTATTATTATTTTTTTTTTTTTCAAAAAAAGATGAGTTGGTCCATCATACTTTACTTATACTATATATAAAATGTCATACTTTTTGTTGACATAAGGATCTTCTCGCACGTCGGATGAACGACACGTGGATTGTGGAGAGGGTCGAGAGTCGCGCCGAAACAAGAAAAAGGGGAAAGTTTACCGAACTGAAGGAGCCGCCCTCTTAAGGGGTGGACCTCGGGGAAAACCCGACTTATGGAGAGACGACCTCAGGTCGTCAGAGACCGCATTAAATGCCCATCGAATCAATCGTCTCGACCCACGTGAGGGCATCATTGCTAGGGGGCCCACCAACGAGAAAAGCTGCGTCCAAGTGTCATTCAACATTTAATGTCGCCGATTCTCCTCAAAAGAAGAGCCCACAGTTGCTATAAATAGCAGCATTAAACATGATACGAGGATCTTTTTTTCGACACATTAAATTTCGTATTTATCACCTCGGTTCATCACCTATAACGGTATTATTGTACTATTGAAAACCCGACTTCAAGTCCGAAATACCGACTTGAATCTGTTGTAAAATACCTCCTGTTAACTAATAAAATCACTTCATTTTCGCGTTATTCCCGAAGATTAATATTTAAAAAGGTTGATCAAATCCATTTATCAACAGTTTGGCGCTAGAGGAAGGGGCTCATAAGATATCTTGAGGTCAATATTTGAATCCAGCATCCACCTCTAAAACCGCTGACACGAAGACGTAAAAGCAATGACGCAATCAGGACAAGATGATCAAACAACGAGGGGAGGGGACAGTCGCGGCCCAATCCCTTCTACCGGTAGAGCCAACACAATGATGATACCAGATCCTGCGACACTTATGCAGAACCCCGAGTTCGCGAAGGGTTTCTCAGCGCTATTAGCTCAGACAATGCCGGGAACCTCGAGAACAGTGTCGGGACAGTCGCTTGCGCCAATCACCCCGGCCAGACCGGCGGCGCAGCAGTTGCAGCAAGGTGCAAACAATCAAACGCGCTCACACGCGACGTCCCAACCGAGGGACGACGCCACCCAACGACCTCCTACCCAAACGGTGAACCCCCAAGAGCAGAATCTGCAGGAGATGACGGCGGAGAGCCAATCCGGGCACGTTCGAAGGGAAACCGCTGTCGCTAGACCCTTGTTCAGGCTAGCAGGAAATCCGGCCGACCTCCGACACCAAATAGAGAGGGGCCAGACGACCAGACATGATAACCCCGAAATAGAAGCCCTGAGAAGGAGGGTTGCCGAGCTCGAGACTTTGCAAAATCGAGGAACAAGGTCGCCCCTCAACCCACACGCTCAAGAGACGGGCTATGTGTACATGGAAACGGATTCCCCACTGTCTCCTGAGTTGACTTTAGAGCCACTGCCCGGGAAAATCAAAGTCCCGCAAATCGGCCTTTATGACGGAACGTCGGATCCCGACGCCCATCTCGGGCATTATACTTCATGGATGGACTTACATGGGGCCACCGACGCCCTCAGGTGTCGTATGTTCTCCCTAACTATGGGACCGAGAGCGCAGAAGTGGTATTACTTGCTACCCGCGCAGTCCATCCGATATTGGGTTCAGCTCAGGTCGGCCTTTCGCTCCCATTTTATCGGAGCACAAGTTTGCCTCATTCCAAAAGAGTCGATCACTAACATCGTCCAAAAGGACGACGAGAGCTTGAAGGAATATGTTGCACGCTTCAACGAACGCGTGCAGAATATGGAACCGTGCCACCCTGAAACTCTCTTGGTGAGCGCCATATCGGGATTGAAGCCCAAATCGATGTTCAGGTGGGCACTTTGCCAAAACAAGCCCAACACGTTCCAAGAATTCTTGGTCCGAGCGCAGAACCACGTGATCGCCGAAGAGAGCATGTCGGTCCCGGACCTCACATTCACTTCTCAAGGACAAAAGTCGACGTCGGAGAAAAAGAAAAAATCTTTTAGCAACTCGTCTAAGAAGACCTCCTCTGCGGACCCGAGATGGGGAGACCCGAACGATCCCGAGGTACGAGCAGCCCGGAAATAGTACCGGGAGGACTTGAAGGCGGGATATCAATCTATCTACTCGGTTGGAGCGGCCGTAATCTATGAAGAGATAAAGGGAAAGGGAATCATTCCCGATGCCCGACTAGTGAAAACTCCAGAAAACCAACTCGATAAAGCCCGATACTGTGACTATCACAGATCGTCGGGCCATAATACGGACGAGTGTTTAAGTCTGCTGTCGGCTCTGATGAAACTTATCGGTAACCCACAAGTGAGAAAATTCACTAAAGCCGGCGATAATAAGAAAAACGAAGAACGCAAGAAATCCCTGACGACGATGAAGGAGATGAGGGGGGGGGGGGTCAAATTTCAAAAGGCTTCGAACGCAAGGAGACAAAGAAATTTTTGTGATCGGACCGACTGACGTCGGCTTACCCCAAGACCGACTTGGGAAGAGGGGCCGAGAAGCCGACATCCAGCCACGACCCGACCTAACGCCACCAACGTCGGGACGCTCGAATCCCATTCCCCGAGTTAATACCAACTTAGACGCGCCGACGTCTTCCCGGAGACAAGCTAAGGCATATGCACGAAGAGCCTACAACTCGGGGAAGCAAGTTATGACCTCGGACCACAGGGAGACTATCAATGCCCGAACTTGCCCTATCACCTTCACATTGGAAGATGCAAGTCTGTTCGACCATCCACATTCGGACGCACTCATAATCACAGCCCCCATCTGTGGCATCTCTGTCCACCGAATCATGGTGGATACCGGGGCCTATACCAGCATACTCATGCTCAAGGCATTTAACAAGCTCAGGATCGACCCATCCGAGGTTTGTTCATGCAACGACCGCGTCCACGGCTTCAAAGGGAGCGTAGCGCTCCCATTGGGAGAGATCACACTCCCCATCAGGTTCGGGGGACACGGGCAAACATCCAAAGTCATCATGGAGACTTTCAAAGTGATGGACCTCGACAACGAATACAATGCGATTATCGGGAGGACGGCGTTGTACAAGCTCTAAGCTGCAGTTTCTATTTTCTACTATGCCATAAAATTCCCAACGGCGGACGGAGAAGGAACCCACTACGGGGAACAAAGAGAAGCCAGGGAGTTGTTCCTGGAGATACCATCACGAGAAATCCACGTGGTGGAAAAAGCCAGCGCCGAGGTAGGCAAAAACCAAGGCCCTAGGGGGAACGAGCAACCACCAACCTTAGATGAAGGAGATAAAACTCGAGATCGGGGGAGACGACCAGGGAAAGAGCCCGCCAGGGAAGACGACATCCTCGACCCCCGAGATCAATTCAAAGAAAAGAAGTCGAGAAACCGAGCTGAACCCTCAGAGGAGGTGAAAGTCATCAACGTCGGCGAGCCGACCTGCAACAAACCACTCTGTATAGGTGTCGGCCTTCCTGAACCGCTCAGAACAGAACTAATCCGGTTCTTGCGCACAAATACCGACGTCTTCGCTTGGAGACATGAGGACATGAAAGGAATTGACCCCGCTGTCGCCTGTCATCGGCTCAACATCGACAAAACAGTAAAACCAGTCATTCAGAAGAGGAGGAAGCTCGGTCCGGAGCGACAACAGGCCCTCAAGGAGGAAGTGAACAAACTTGTCGACAACAAGTTCGTCAAGGAAACTAAATACCCGACCTGGGTGTCCAACCCCATTTTGGTTAAAAAGGCCAGCGGCGCATGGCGTCTGTGTATAGACTTCTCCGACCTCAACAAAGCTTGCCCGAAAAATAGCTACCTCTTGCCACATATTGACTACATGGTCGACACAACCTCGGGTCATGAGCTCATGAGCTTCATGGATGCGTACTCGGGCTACAACCAGATTCCTATAGATCCAGAAGAAGCGGAGCACACCTCATTCTACTCGGCTCGGGGTTTGTATTGCTACACGATGATGCCCTTCGGATTGAAGAACGCTGGGGCCACATATCAACGGTTGGTTAATAAGATGTTTTCTAGACTGATAGGGCAAACTATGGAAGTTTATGTAGATGATATGTTAGTGAAGTCGGTAAACGCAAGCGATCATGTAACTCATTTGAATGAAATGTTTAAGATCTTGCGTGATTACTCGATGATGTTGAATCCAAAAAAATGTACCTTTGGGGTGAAGTCGGGAAAATTTTTGGGCTACATGGTCAGCCAAAGGGGAATAGAGGCAAACCCTACGAAGATCCAAGCAATACTCGACCTCAGACCCCCCACCTCGGTGAAAGGGGTTCAGGGCCTGACTGAGAGGCTGGCGGCCCTGAATCGATTCATCTCGAAGTCGACTGACCGCTGCAAGCCGTTCTTCGACGCCATCAAGAAAGGAAAAAAGTTCGAATGGACTGACGAATTTCAAAAAGTGCTTGACAATATCAAAATGACGTTGGCTCAACCTCCGGTCTTGCAAAAACCAAAGCCCGACGAGATGCTGTACTTATACCTCGGGGTAAGCAGCTCGGCGGTCAGCGCGGTCCTCATAAGGGAAGAAGAGGCAGGCCAACACCCAATCTACTACGTGAGTAAGGCGTTGCATGACGCCGAGCTCAGATATCCGCCGATGGAGAAGTTGGCCTATGCCCTCGTCATCGCGGCCAGGAAACTCCGATCTTACTTCCAAGAACACTCAATCACTGTCCTGACAGCCAATCCGCTAAGGCAAGTCCTACATAGACCCGACACTTCGGGGCGAATGATTAAGTGGGCCATAGAGTTGGGACAGTTCGATATACATTACAAACCTCGCACAGCCATCAAGGGACAGGTGTTATCGGATTTCATCGTCGAGTTTACCCCTGCAATCCGAGAGACAACAGACAACCGACCATGGGTGATGTACGTCGATGGGTCGTCAACAACAACCCGGGCTGGGGGAGGTGTAGTCTTGATCTATCCGGAACAACGGGTATATTGCCACTCAATTCAATTTCTTTTTCCGGCCACCAACAACGAGGTCGAATACAAGGCCTTGCTGTCCGGCCTGGGCCTTGCCGAAACCATGAACTTGACCCACCTGAACATCTTCTCGGACTCCCAACTACTCGTCAACCAAGTCCTCGACAGTTACGAGGTGAAACAACCCCGGTTAGTACCATACCTGGCATTGGTCAAACGACAGATAGCGAAGTTCACAGCTAAAATCGAGCACATCCCGAGGACGTCGAACGTGCAAGCGGACGCCCTTTCACACCTCGCCTCCAGCGCGAATATGGAGGACGTTGAGTATGTTCAGGTTGGAAGTCAGGAGAAACCATCCACGTCTGCATCTTAGGTCAGCCAGGTTGGAACTGGCGAGGCCGACAAAATACCGACCTGGATGGATCCAATCATCACGTACCTAAAGTCGGGAACACAACCCCAAATCCCCAAGAAGCACGATCATTGCGGATACGAGCTGCCAGATACACCCTAGACCGAGGAGTACTCTACAAGCGAGGATACTCGGTTCCACTTCTGAAATGCCCGACAGAACAAGAGTCGCAGTTCGTACTTCAAGAGATCCACGAAGACATCTGCGGAAGCCATTCCAGGGGCCAGGCCCTGGCCTACAAAATCCTCCGTAGAGGGTACTACTGGCCGACGCTCAGGCGGGATGCCACCAACTGGGTAAAAAGTTGCAACAAATGCCAGATATTCGCGCCAAACAGGAATCTAGTGCCAGAACCCCTCAAATCGATTGTGAGCCCCTGGCCGTTCGCCAAATGGGGAATTGACCTGATAGGACCATTGCCAACCGGAAAGGGAGGAGTGAAGTTTACCGTTGTAGCAGTAGACTACTTCACCAAGTGGGCGGAAGCAGAACAGTTAGCAACTATCACTGAGCAGAAGATGATCGACTTCCTTTGGTAGTCGGTAATATGTCGCTTCGACGTGCCCAACTCAATTGTCACCGACAACGGGAGACAGTTCAAAGAAAAAAAGCTAGAAGACTTCTGTGCATCTCACGACATAAAGCACTATTTCTCAACTTCGTATCATCCCCAGTCGAATGGTCAAGTTAAAGCGGTGAACAAGTTAATTAAGAACAGTCTCAAAATACGACTTGAAGCGTCGAAGGTGGCCTGGCCAGAAGAGTTTCCAGGTGTCCTGTGGGCATACCGCACGTCCCCGAGGTCGTCGACGGGAGAAACCCCATTTTCCTTGGCATATGGATCGGAAGCCATGGTCCCTGTGGAACTCGGGTTGCCGACCTACCGAGTAGAGAATTTCACAGAAGATCAAAACGACGATAACTTACGCATGAATCTCGACTTGGTCAAAGAGCTACGAACGCAAGCCCAACTCCGAAACGCGGCCTACAAATAGAGGAGCGAGCGATATGTTAACTTAAAGCTTAAACCCATGACTTACCGAGTTGGCGACCTGGTCCTAAAAAGAGTGACAGGGCCCAATCCCAGTCCCTTAAAACCGAAGTGGGAAGGACCCTTCAAAATAAGTCAAGTGCTACCCCATGGGGCCTACCGGTTGGAGGATCTGGATGGCACACCCCAGCGGTATCCATGAAATGCGGTATACCTCAAGAAATACTATCAATGACGTCGAGTCGGCCTCCGCGCCCCTAGTCGGTTTCCACACCGACGTTCTGCAAAAACCGGCCTCCGCGCCACTAGTCGGTCTCCACACCGACGTTCTGCAAAAACTGGCATCCGCGCCACTAGTCGGTCTCTGCACCGACATTCTGAAAAAACCGGCCTCCACGCTACTAGTCGGTCTCTGCACCGACGTTCTGCAAAAACCGGCCTCCGCGCCACTAGTCGGTCTCCGCACCGACGTTCTGCAAAAACCGGCCTCCGCGCCACTAGTCGGTCTCCGCATCGACGTTCTGCAAAAATCGGCCTCCGCGCCACTAGTCGGTATCTGCACCGACGTTTTGCAAAAATCGGCCGCTGCGCCACAAGTTGGACTTGTGAAAGGAGCCTCCCCGGGTGAAATTGCAAAGCTTAAAAGGTTCGAGTAGCTGAAAATTTATGATGTAAGACAAAAACCCTCGCACAATCTTTCCAGCAAGAGTTTTGTAATCAAGAAAGCCTTTGTAAAGCTAAATATCGCCATAAAGTTTCTGTACCGAAGCCTTTTGTACTCAAGAAGGTTTTTTGAATCCGAAAAAAGTTTTTTGAATTTGAGAACGTCTTTTCAGCGGGTTTCTCTTTTTACTAAGTATTATGTTTATGAAATCCGATCCATATTCATCGAAATCAATTAGACAAACTGTATTTAATAGCTAAGGCGGAACAAAACAATTGTCCGCTCTGTTGCAAAAGAGGTCGGGGTCCATTCAAGTATTATTGCCGACCACCTATTTAAAAACAAAGGTGTTTGGCTCAGCTTGGCGTCTTCCACCCTTTCTCCTGGATCGCCATCCATCTCTACCGCGGCCTCGTCATCTGAGTCGGCCGACGTATACCGAACCTTCTCGCTCAGCTTGGCGAAGATTTCCGCGTACAGAGCCTGGGGATCGACGCGGATCTTAACAGTCCCGGGGTCGGCCGCCTCAACCACGGTCACCAGTTCGGTCGTCGGGGCAGATACTTCGGGGTTGCCGTCCAGAGTAGCGGCAATCATCTTGTCGGCATACTCCACCATCTCCTTCTTAATCTCGGCCGGGGTCAAAGTGTCAAAGTGCTCAATGGCGATGTCGGCCAGGGTGTCGATGAACTGAAGACCGAGTTCCTCTCTCTTCTCCTTCTCAGCCTCGAGAACCATTTCCATGAAGGCTTTCCGAAGAGAAACACGTCTATCTCGGCGCAAAGGGGGAAGCGCAGAAGCTGTTATGTTGGGCTCAGACTCGTTCAAGACGCCTTCGACGTAATCTCTCTCATCATCGTCGGCCGGAATGCGCATCTCGGAGATTGAAGCATTGAAGCCCAACCTGATTATCTTGTTGTGCAAAATGAGCTTGAGGTCGCCGACACTATAAAGGCCGGAGTCGAGACGGTCGATAGTCCAACGGAGATTCAAGCATGTATTGAACTCGAGGTCACGTTCCATCTCCTCAAGATTTT